GGGCCCCCGATCTGTCGAGACGGTCGTTTCTCCCGCCATCATAACCGCCTAATCGGTGGCCGGCATAATCTTGATCTTGGGGCGACTCGCTGGACGATCGGATGTGTTTCCGTCCGAGCCTGCCCGGCGCTCGTGATCCCGTGGACAGTTGCGCGGCGGGGCGGCCGGTTGCCTAACCGCGCGGAGGGCCCTGCTGAGATGTCGGAGACGAGGTCCCGTTGCTGAGCCCGGCTGGGCTGGGCTGGGCCCCCTTGGTTCTGGTTCGACCCGTCCGGCGGGCCGCCGCGGGCCCGGCCCTTTCTCCAGGCACGATACAGTATTTAAAGTGGAGTCATTCAGAGTCATCTCATGGCTGCAGGGCGTGGCGTGTCCCGGGGTTCCGCGCGATGCAGCGAGGGGGGAAGGGGTCAATGCACTGCTGTCAGTCAAATGACGTCGCCCGCGGGATGGAGGTGAGGGGCGGGGCGGGGAGGGCGCGCCGATGGAACACATCCGCGAGGCGGGCACTGGCTGCCGAGTGCGTGTGCGTGCCCCGGGTTCGACTCCCGCCGCGCCCGCAGCACCGCCGTCGCTCGTGTTTTGTATAGATCACTCCGTGACTGCGGCGGCGGTGGCTTTCCCCGGAGCGCCCGGCCGCTCGTCCGCCCGCCGCGGGCCGAGGGTTTGGTTTTTGATCTCGCCATGCGTTATCGGCCCGGCTCATAGGCAGGACGACGTTCTTCTATGACGAGCGATGGCAGCCTGTGGTTATCCCGTCGCCGATACGTTTACGCTCGCTCTACATATCCCCGAGCGGTTCGGTCGCGCTGGCTGAACGCCCCAGTGCCCATGTGCGGTCGCGTACCTCGCGGCCTGCAGATGCAATTTGAAAACCACCGATTATAAAGGTGTTGGAAGATATTTGAAAAGTTGGGAGCTTATGAAATGCTTTTTAAAAGCGGGTGGTATAGTAACTCTTCCCAGGAACTCTTTCACTTTAGTTATTATTTCTTGTTGGCTACTTGATCTTGTGAATGCGAGTCACATGACGGGATGCGTGCGCGGCTGTCCCGGCCGCGGTCCCTCGCGGTGGTGAAACCCTTTCGGTCCCGGTCACGAGCCGCCGCGGGGACTCGTGCACTTTTATAATTGCTTAATCGGAAATGGCGCGCTTTGCTGTGCATACATTGTCGGGGGGCGCGTGGGCCTGCCGCGTGCCGCTGCAGATTGTAATCTTATTGCAGTGCAGAGAGATGGCGACCCCACTCAGGGGCCGTTGCTGCCTTGCCTTGCTGTATCGCCTCAGTTCGAGGACTTATTAGTTCTTTTTTAACGCTGTGATAACATTATCACTGGCTACAAAAACATATTTTTAAAACCCTACGAGTTCCGCGCAATGACAAGAGTTTCCGCGGCCTCCCCCCTGCCCCCGTCCCCGTCCACCCTCTGGTCGCCACATCGCACTTCGAGCTTGCTCCTAAGCGCGGCCCGCTCCGCTCCTTGACCCGCCCAGCACCGAGTGAGTCCTGCACGCCGCGGAGTTGTCGTCGCCCACGCCCCTGTGCCATCACCATAAGTGCCCAGCCCAGCGGTACTTGTGACGTGATCAGCCTCTGATGGACGATTATTGAAAGAAGAGGGAGAAGAAGAGATAGAGGCTTGCCGTCTCGGCGCCGTCCGATTTTGTGCCCGACAATGTGAGTGGCCGCCACCATGTCTAGCGGCAAGGACACGTACTGGGAGACGCATCCCACCCCCGCCTCAACCCTGCCGTCGCTCGACTTCTGGGACTACAGCATCGAGTTGGAATGTCTGCAAGGCCCCGAAGGTAACCCCGAAACTGACTGGTGTAACGTGTAACCCTTATTTTATAGCGCAAAAGTCTTCCTCTGCGTAAAGTTGCTATTTCCAAACTTTGTTTAAAGCATTTGTCAACTTGTCTGGTAGCCGTTGTTTCTGAGTTCATTGTTATAAAATGTTTGATCTTTTGATTTCATTTTTACACTTTGTACATGAGCTGAGACATGGATTGTGGAATTGTTGAAAATTGTGAAGGACCAATCAGTGTTACTGTACCCTCCTCCTTCGATGTGGAGGAGTCTTTTTGATCGCAATCTGCGCTGTTGTATCATGCGTGTAAGGGTTCGGGCTCGACTCCAGCCTAGAAAAATTGCTCTTGACTTTCAAAACAACGTGAAGGATTTGGAAACCCTCTGCGATTACCAAGATCCTACCAGCAGTTTGCAGTCTTAATGGCGAGGCTCCCTTGACCTTCACAACTTTCCATCGTTATTTTTTGAACCAGCTCACTTATAGAAGTATCAGTTCAGGTAGTGAACTCTCAGCTCAACACTCGATATGTGCATGGTTGGACGAGCGAAATCCCCTGTTTGCTGTTTAACGATTGTTTAATCTTAGTGCAAACACGCCTTTCCGTTCGTTCCCATTCCGTCCCTATCCCTGCCCTAGGCCAACCCGGCCGCCTGGTCATGGCCGACATTCGTAATGTACGCTGTCTCCCCCCTTCCTCCCGGTGCTCCAGCTGGGTTAACTGCGCCGCGCGTTTGTCAAGTTCCTTCTGCTCTCCGCGCGCGAGTACAGCTATACTCCCGTCTGTGCGGCTCGGCGGGTCGGCACAGCCCGCCCGGCCCGGTGACCGATCTGAAATAAGTGTCGCGAGCGTGGATCTGTTAGTCGTGCTGTTGGTCCTTCTCCAGCTGGTGGGCGCTGGGCGCCTGCGAAGCGTGGGGTAGGCAACGCGCTCAGCGCGGGCGCGCGGCGGGGTTGCCTACCCACCGCCTGCCAACCGCCGGGTTGGCGACGGGTACCGTGCGCGTGCGGGCGCGTGAAGGGCTTTGCCTATCCCTCCGTAGGGCGCCTGCGAACTGCAGGGTAGGCAACGCGCTCAGTGTGGGCGCGCGGCGGGGTTGCCTATCCTGCCGCCTGGGGCCTGCCGCTCCGCCGCCGCGGCGAGTTTGCCCACCCACCTGCCGCGGGGGACCGGCTCCGCCTAGGATGACGCATTTTGATGGCGGGGGCGGTGGTATGGGAAGCAGGGGGAGCTGTTAACGCAATATCGCAATAAACGCGCCGAGAAGGAAAGTGGATTTGATGAGGTCACTCGTCACTCATTATCCCTGCTCGGGAGAGCGCGAGAGTGAGGGTGGTGAGCAGGGCCCCGCGGCCCGGCCCAGCCCGGCCCGGAGCGCGGCGGAGGAGATTCGGCGCGGACGGACGCGTGTGCGTGGGCGGTCGGGCAGGGCCGCGCCGGCCAGGGCGCTTTCTAGGAGTGTCCTGAGCCTGTCATTCTGGGAGGGGGCGGGGGCAGTAGCAGCGAGGGCACTACTTTCAAAAATTTACGTTTAATTTACCCGCACGCAGAAATTTGTTTCCTTCCCCATAGCGATCTTAGTATTATTTTTTTCCCATTGTGACCCATGCGATAAGCTATATATTTTCGATTTCCTCTCTGACAAAGACTTTTTTACTTGAGCAGCGATGCGCGTAATGTCACATGTTTGAAGGAAGGTTAACTTGTTAGCAATATGGCCTGTCCTCGGCACCTTAGCGTTGGGTATGATCTTTCTCTTGAGCGCACCCATGTGGTTGTGCCTTTCGCGGCGCAAGTAGACTTTTCCTGCGCAGCCCCCCCCCCCCCCGGTGGATGACGTTTCGCCAGAGCTCTGTGCGCAACCCATCCAGCTCCATCGAGCCATCCGTCGGCCGCAGTATCAGTGCCTCGCCTGTCGCACACTCGTTTGAGGGCCGAACGCGTGTGGATTGCGTTTCTTGGAGGGGGCACGCCGCCGTGGAGTCACTCGCGGCCGCGCGGGCTGCGCCTGTGCTCGCGCGCGGTTAGCCCGCCGGTGCAGCTTAGCGCAGTCCAGTGCGCCCAGCCATGCATGCCCTATGAGAAAGCTGTGCGGTGCTTGTTCGCTTGGTTGGCTATTTGCCCAGGGAGCGTCTGCAAATTAACCGGCGAGGCGAAGAAAAGAATCCGCGCGCGAGAGAGGAAGCGGCCAGGAAGGAGACGGGAGCGGGGGGCGGGGGCTGTTTGGTGGGGAAGGGAAGGACCAAGACCCAAGCATACGCGTTTACAAGAGGATCGAGCTGGTTCTTGTTGGCAAAGACACCTGTCCAGCTTCAAATAGTTTTATTTCTGCTTCGCCCTGGAACACGAGGAAGTAACGTTTATATCGTGCCCCCTCCGCCCTGCCCTCACCTCACCCCTCTCTGCGGTTGTGTGGTCACGGCAACTTTTGGGCGCCGCGGCCGGAAACGCGAGAGGCACTCGGATCTCTCGTGGAAGAAGTCACACCACTACCTCCACCTCTTATTCCTAAAGCGGGGCAAAATGTCTATCTGTCTTTTATTTATGGCGGGCGTCATCATAAACGATTTCACGTTCGTTCACGTTGTTACGATGCTGTTTATTATGTTTCGCTTCCACACGTCGTCTCACACATTTTTTGTCGTCTGTCTCCAGATCTCCAGCTGGCTGCAGAGCTCGGCAAGACGCTGCTGGAACGAAACAAAGAGCTGGAGACGACCCTTCGGCAGCAGCAGACCGTCATCGAGGACCAGACGCAAGAGATTGAGGTGCGTACACTTAGATGATAAGAAGAAAATTTTCCAGAGACACAAACGGAAGAGATCAAAGTTTTTTAATTTGAGCTGTGCAAATAAAATTGTGCGCCTCCTGCATCCATATTCTTATGTTATTGTACCAACATTCTGCTATATTTCTTTGTCTTTTGCAGTACTTGACAAAGCAGACGGCCGCCCTCCGGGAAGTGAATGACTCCCGACTACGAATCTACGAGCAGCTTGAAGTGAGCATTCTCGACTTGGAACGCGCCAACCAACGACTGGCTCTCGACTCGGCTGCCGACAAGAAGCACATCAAAACGTACGTCCTCCTGGTCGTTAAACGAGCGTGTTGCTTTCGTGATGTAATTGAATGGCCTGTCGCGAGAAGGAGCGCTCAGTGAACCTTTTCCCTTTTCCCAAATGAGAAATTGACAATCTTTTTAACTAATCACCTGTTTGCGTATTTTAGGCTCTGTGTGAACATTGACTCCCTGGAAGCGCGCTGTGAAGAGCTCCAGAAGCAGTCCGACGAACTGCAGAAGCAATTGGAGAGAAAGACTTCAGGCCCCTCTTCAAACAACAATAACAACAAGGTGGGGAATCCGAAAATAGCGTTTGCGCCACCATTCACTCTGCTCTGTTAATTTTACAAGTTGTCTCACCTCTTTCCACGCAGTGTGATGCCTTCGCAGACGCACCGAATCTGGAGGAAGAGGTGGACAGGTTACGGGGAGAAATGCAAGAACTTAAAGCTCAGCGCCTACGTGACCAGCGCCGGTCTTCAAAGCTGGAGGAGCAGGTGCAGGCTCTGGTGCAGGAGAACCAAGTGATGGAGGAGCAGCTTCAAGTTTTCCAACACAAAGAGGAGGATATGAAATCACTCCAGGAAGAAATTAGCACTCTAGAAGAAATAAGGTAAGAAACTTCTTATAACATTTTATGTGTGGTTTATTACTTATTATTATTTCTGATATTTTAACTTTCAATATTTTCTGGGTTTTAGAAGCGGTCAGCTTTGTGGAAGGTGCACTCAAAAGATGGGGTCTCCACAGGGCCCTCTTCATGAAAGTTTGCAGTTATTAGAACAGTGTGGTGGAGGTGCTGGAGAGGACGGTGATGAAGAAGATGTTAGTGTCATTGACTCCTTTGTCAGTGATTCACAAAGAGCTTCTGTACTTCTTCAGTTACAGGTAATAAAATTCTCTATTTAATTATATTTTTTAGAAAATTATATTTAGCGTTATGTATAAATGAAAAGTTTTCCTTATTTCTGCAATGGTGGACAGTTAATTGGTTCCTTGGAGAAGACTAGTTCCAAAAATATACCTTGATATGGCATGTTTCAGGAAGTATGTAGGGTGGTTTGGGTGATGTGGTGGATAGTGACATTCCTTGGCAGCCCCGGAAAGGCATCAATAAGCCTTCCAGGAAAGCCCCCAACTGCACCTCCAAGTTCGTCTCTACTTTCTCTTTTGCTATTTCTGGCAAAGACATTACTTTTCTGGCCTTTAAAAATCCCTATATGCTTGTTACGCTGGCTTTTAGGCTTTCCATCTCGGGCTTCAGGCCAATGCATAGGTATGTCTCAAGTTCTTATTCTGACCAGCTTGTGGTGGTGGACTTCATACCTCAAACTAACAAATATAAATAACGGGTGTGAACATTTTATTTTTATTAACTTCCAAGTCCAATTCACAGTGTGACTGGGATGGACCATGGATTATGGGTGCAGTTGAATATAATTTTCTTTTTCCCACTATACCCTCATGTGTGATGTTGATTAATAATGTGAGAAACCTTTTCATTTTCCAGCAAAAATCCGTAACCACTAGGCCCCTTTATCCCTACCTATTTAACTTTGCATCTCTATGTAACAGGGTGCAGACTTTTTGTTTTCCTTGTTTTCCCTACTTTCCTATTTTGTAGGTTTGTGCTGTGTGGTTTTTGTCATCTACCATTTCTAATTTTTTATCTTTAATTTTATCAGAAAATTGACAGTGATGATTCAAAACATATAAACTTATGATTTACTACTCAACAGATAATAAACCATTTCTTGTTTTCGTATGTTACAATTCCATTCATTTTTTAACCGACTCATTCATGTTTATTCAGTAATAAAACAAAGTAAAATTCTTTTAATATGGATGTGGGTTACCTTTGTACTGTTTGAACAGAAACAGTAGTAACGTACAGTTTGAACAGTAACAGTAGAAGTAACCCATGGAAATTTAACTTTTGAGTTTGAAGATGACATTCAATGTCTCTCATGTAGTAATTTTTGTTTTACTGTGTGCTTTCAGGAACGTTCCAGTGAAAATCCCTATCGAGACCTTGTCCAGAAGTACGAAGCTCTTGTGCAAATTCAGTCAAACCCTGTGTCAAGCAGACGACCCAGCAAGCCAAATGTTGTACCAGTTAGCAATGGCCCACCCGCTGCCCATGCTGCTCTCTCTTTGCAAGAAGAACTACAAATGTCTGGTGATTTCAACAGTTTCCGAAATACCGATGAAGAAAGTGGAAATGAAGACAATGGAAGTACCTTGCTTTCCCAGAAAACAGGGAGAGGTCTTCAATCGGAGGCGGCCAAAAAGGCTGGACAAAACAAGACTTTTTCAACCACACCAACAGATTTTTCAGAAGCTGAAACATCATCTTCAGGCTTCTCCGACGAGACCAGTAACAAGTCTACACAAACTGAGTCACACAAACTTCCAGGTGGTTTCCTGTGCACTATTGTGGATGGTGAAGATTGCCGCTTTAGTATCTATGATGATGCCAGTCCTGTTGATGGGCGGTTCCGCAATACCCCTGAATATCGCAGTCTGTTTAGAGAAATTTTTGACATTTTGAAGAAAGCAGCAGAAGCCAGGGATGAGGGAGAAAAACTGCCACTTCTTGATGATGTATCTGTACCTCATGATCCCCCTCGTGTTCCTCCTGTAACACCTGCCAAAGAAGAGCTACCATTGTTAAAAATGCTTGCTCAAGATGGAACCCAGACATCTGTAATTTCTGAAGAACCATCAGAAATCTGTTCTGAAATATGTTCAGAGATTGTTGCAGATGCAGAGGTAGAAAGGGTAACAGCAACGATGGTAGAAGAACTTTCTTTACCCTCACCCTCAACAAGTGTGGGGGAAAAGAACGCCGAGGCTGGACCAGTATCTTCTCCAGCCTCAGCCTCGGCTTCAACATCTGGATCGAATGCTGATGGTGGAACCAAAAAGTTTATGGACCGTGCTGGAGAAGTAGAGCAAGAACCTAAACCTGCATCACCTGCTCCTAAAAAGGATATTATGGAATACTTGGCTATGGGAGTTGGTAGGAAAAAGGGTCGCTCCAGAAAAAACTCGCCTCATGCATCACCTAGGAAAGGCATTGAAAGGGTTGATCCATCCAACCTGTCAATGATAGTCGGGCTCAATAATGCTAGAATTTCGCATGACAAGAGCCCAAGAAGACGGCGGGACAGGTATGCTGATAGCCCATCTCGTAACTCTGAGAGTCCCAGCAGGCAATCTGATAGTCCCTCTCGCCGTGGCTATCATTCGCGATCACCAAGTGGCCATAGAAACTCGACTGCTTCAGCAAATGCTCTTGCTGCACGTTGTCATAGAGAAGTTGATGAGTTCTCATCAACCCAACCAGGACCCAGCAAGTCACATTCTTCAAGAGGGGGCTCTGCTCAAAGCACTGCGTGGACATTCAGTCAGACTGCCTCAACAGCTTCTCAGGACATAGCTCGTTTGAAAAAACTTGAAATGTCCTATGCAGATGTACTGAGAAAAAGGCCAACATCTTTACCTACATCTCTACCTATGACATCTCAACCAATGGTTAATAAATGCACACAGGTAACATCACGAAAGTCATATCATCATCATAAATAATAAAGTGTAAAATGTTTCTATGTGCCTCAAATTGTAAAAATTTTGACTTTAAACAAGAGTACAATGAAAAAAGTAACTTTTATGAAATTGACTGTGGATAGTGTCCAGAAGTATATTTAGAGTAGATTTTAAGATTAAACAAACTGTGCCAATGTTCACTTTTCCTTGTCAGCTGTTCAATTCTTTTAATAAGAAATACCTATACATAACAATTACATGTACAATTTTTGTGTTTTCAAATTTCGCAATCCCTCTTGGCCTTATTGGTGATAACATTGATTTTACATGTCATACTTAGCATTACACATTCTCTTAACTTCTTACAGGTGATTTCTTGCCTTGTGCCATTTCCCAATTTTTACAAAATTTAATAGTTAATATAATACATTTTTAGTATGAGGCAAGTTTAGTGTGCATATGTATAAGCATCTCAAATATTGTAAACAATGAAGTATCAATTTGTGCCAGTGGTTTAAAGACCATGTACTGTACCATGAGTTTCACTCAATATTGAAAGAGTAGTGTGTTGCCTATTTATCTTAAATTTTCCTTCCGTAGGTAATGTATTTTATTAACTGTACCGAATTTACAGTAACATGTTACATTCCCATCTCCAGTTTAGTTTAAATTTGTTTTGAACAAATTTCACAATTTGAATTTGTATCTTTAGTCTTTACTGTGTGAGTTAAGTTTTGTACCGGTAATCATTCAGTATTAAAGATACAGTTTGTGTCTTTTAGAGAAGACAAATGTATGCATGTACAGGAAATAAACTTCCATCCAGATAAATTGTTGCCCTGTTATTAATGACAATGTACATACAGAACCTGACCACAAAAGATCAAGATAACAAATTGCCACATGCAAAATAAAAGTAAGGCATTCATATACGAGATTGCTTTTATTTGTAAATCTTCAACAAGTTAACTAAGGAATTAACAGCAAAATGGATGTTGGTCAATACAATGTAAGCATTTGTTTGCAATCAATAATACACACTGACTCCAAGCATAAAATCATTTCCAAAACTCGATTTCAACTAAATTTGTATCAAATATGAATAGGGTTACTTTGCTTTGAGATGAAAGGGGCATCCACATTAGTGAACATTCAGTCTCTTTCAAATATTTGTATTCCTTTATTACTAATGCATCTCAAATTAATATTGCCATCATAAACGACAGTCTGTTAAGTTACAATTTATACAAATCATTTTCCAACACATGCCATACCAAAATTAAGATTTGTTGAAAAGTGCCTTGTGTATTGTGTTAATGTCTGGTACTACAGATGATTTTCCACTTCCTGATAGCTTGGCAGATGATCCTGAAGGCGTTCTTAGATTTCCACTACTGTCAAAAGGAGTGACAAACAACAAAAATTAAGTCATACAATATCACAAGTTGAAAAGGAAAAAAACAAAACTAACATACCTCTGGGTAGCTGAAGAGGCTGTAGTGGCCCTGGGCTTAACTAATAGACATTTCATTGGTTGTCCATCTAACTGTCGATTGTGATAATTTTCGACAGCACGTTCAGCATCCTTGTACAAGCGGTACACAACTTCAGCAGTTCCTGGCCTTACCAATCTTGATGCAACCAGTGGTCCAATATCCTCAAATAATTCCTGTGAGAAAAGAAATATTGATCACAAAGTTGAAAAAATAAATCCACAACCAACCACCACAAACAAAAAAAAAGAAAGAGTAACATACCCTGATATCTTCATGAGTGACAGAGCTTTGTAGATTGGAAACAACAATTCTGTAACCTGAAGATCCTGCTCCAGATGCAGATAGGTGAGAAGGTTGAATTCTTGATGATTCTAGTCTTGCTTTAGCTGCACTCATGGCACTGCCACTTGGAGTTCGAGTTGATCTCTCAATTGGTCTCACAGGTTCAACCATATCATCATCATCGGACAAAACAATAGGGCGCATACTGTAAAAAGAATACACATAAGAAACGTAGAAAGAAAAATAAATTGAAAAAGTGTGTAAATTAAAAGTACTAAATGGCATTTTAAGTCAATAAGAATGTGCAAGGCAAATAAAATGCTATTTACATTGGTGGAGGTGATGGTAATTTCATCCTCTTCCTCTGTTCCGCTGGGTAGTCCAAATCAATGTAACCTCTGCTGTTCGTTTGCGTTATGCGTTGCTGTCACAAGAGAAAAACATTTTAAGTACTGCATGCCTCAAAATCCAACTCAAAAACATCAAAAAATAACCATATTATAATTTATAGTTTTAGTTTATAGTTTTGCTTACTTGGAGAGGTGCCTTCCATGAGTATGGTGAAGGATGAGAAAGTTTGGAAGCACGAAGCAAAGGTTCTTGACGCATTTGGTCATTGTTAACAGTTCTGCGCAGTGGCATTACACTTTCAGACATAAATCCATCTATAGATAGAAAAAAAAAGAATTAAAGAACCATGGAAAGAACTTCACTGAAATTACTTGGTGGCAAATCACTTACCAGACATTTCAATGTCCATGTCCATGAGAGCAGGAACATTGTGTGGATATCTGCCAATGCTCATGGATTGATTGATTGTTCGCTGAAGAGGAATCATACTATGATCTGGACCAGGTCTTCCGTGAATATCTTTCATGTAAGGATTGCGCACAGCTTTTCTGACACTGGCATTATATCCATTATATACTAAATGGCCTTGCATTCCATCATGACCCTAAAAAAGAGGGAATAAAACTCCAATAATATTACATCAGAAGGTTTAAATTTGACTTTGATAGCTAACTTAGAGGTAAGGGACTACAAAAGAAACAAATCGCGGCAATGTTTATCTTACCAATCGCGTTTCCCGCAGTTTCTCCAGTTTCAAGCGTACATCTGTTTTCTTTGCAAGCTCACATATCTTATCTCTTGCGTCAGTAATGTGAAGGCGTTTTTTCTGAATGATCCGATTCCGTGCATCAGCAATAGGTTGTTGTCGCCCACCAGGACCAGCATTCTGAGAACCGACTCGGCCAGCATTTGCAATTCCTGGTTTCCTAGCCTGCTGGACTCCTCCAGGCCGACGAGGTACTTTGTTTGGAGGATTGCCACGATTATTAGCTACATTATTAGCACCAAACTTCTTGAATCTAGAAACAATTACAGAAATATGATTTACAAACATTTGCCCAGTTGGCTAACCTACACAAGAAAGGAATTTTGTAAACAAACGGGAAGAAATAATTTCGAAGTTTGTGTAGCGAGTAACTGCTCGTAACAAATAGTTTCAGTTAAAATAACCGACAAAAGTTCGTAAAAGAAGAGCCTTACAAAGGGTTTCCGGCAACTAAGGTAAACTACCTCTCAGGTTAGGCGTCACTTTGAGCAAAGTCCGTACGCCGTAAAGTCAAAAATAGTGGCTGCTTCGGCAATACCAGAAACGAGCAAAAAACAAACATGAACAATAAACGATACTAACCCTCCCTTCCCCTTGACAGAAATCTTGTTTTTCTTGATAATATCGTCGAGACTGAGTTCCATGCTCGCCATTTTCAACAACACAACACACAAACACTACGCCACTATTCCCCTACTCCCCTTCTCCTTAATGGAGTCCTGATGGTCCGCGAGAGCGCGCCACAATCGCGGGGGCTGACCGCCCTTATTCGCAGGCCCGTCGCATGCGGCGCTATGCGCAGGCAGGCGAGGCGGCCGCGCCCCTGGGGGATAGACCATACTGTGCAGCGGTGTGCGGGTACTGCCTAACCACCAGGCGGCCCCGCGCGCGCGTCCCTGTTTGTGCTTGCGTTTAGTTAGAGGGGTGCTTGGGGTGCTAGGGGGTCCTGAGCTGTCGGGAACGTTTTTTCCCACGTATACTTTGCATGGGTTTCTAAGGCGGTGAGTCTCAGGAACCCCTAGCACCCCCTAAACTAGAGGCAAGCTGTGGCTACAACCGTCACGCGCCCAGGCCCATACTCCCCGGGATTTGTAAGACGATTGACGCGTACGTCGGTTAAACTGTACTGACCCACCACAGGTCATGGAGCTCCTTTAAGCCAGAATCTAGGTCTTACTAGTGCACCCGCACAGCAAGGTTCCAGGCACCAGGGAACTCCCACGGCCCGCTTGCGCCGTAGTCGAAGGGAAGGGGGGGTCGTGCTGAAATGGCGGGTTTGAAGTCCATTTGACATTTGGTCGTATAAAAAAAAAAATCATATCGCCGGCGATTCGAACCACTGACCTCTCACGCTTTGAGCGGGCGCGCTACCGCCATTTTTTTTACAAAACGACTGAGCCATGGAGGCCAGTTCACAACGACGCTCCAGGGAACGACCAATTCTACGCTGTCGCTCACTGCTAAAAAAAATTAAGTGTGAAGATTTGTTTGTTGTTGTTGTTGTTTCCAGAACACATACAAGTGCTGGGAACAACATATCAAAAGATGGCGATAACTTTTTGGGGGTTCCTTTAGTGAGAGGTCAGACGGGACTTGGTCTCTGTGGCCCAAAGTACCGCGAGTACCGCTCTCCCTCCTTCCTCCCCACCCCCACCAACCTCAGCCGACTCCCATACTAAGGCCGAGCTGCTTAGCTCTGAGCGGCGGCCTATACTTCCAACTCTTGAGTTCCCTTCTTTTGGCCACAACATTGAAATGAAATTTCCCGCGCGAGTTTTCGACTCATCAAATATTGAGAGGCGGGCGGTGGGAATCGAACCCACGATCGCCCATCCCCGCGCCCGCTCGATGCCACTGCGCCGCGAGGAGCGCGGGGGTAGGGGGGGGGGAGGGTTCGTCATCGTCACTCATAAGCCAGGACGCTGGGGGTGTACCTGCCATATGCCCGCGCCCGGGTGCGATCAATGCTCAGCAAATATGCAAATACGCACGCTGAGTCCAAATCTGGTACCGATGTCGTCCGGGCCTTCGGGGACGTCATTGGGGACCTCCCGAGCACGCCGATGACACTCCTACGACAAATACTATTCGGCTCCCAACGTCGTGTAACTGGGCTGGTGCATATTTCTTAAAAGTCGCCAAATACAATTGTTATTAGTAGCAATTCGCCCATTATAGTTTATTTTTATCCTAATCATTTCACTATTGTCACATGGCACTTCCCTGGCGTTGCCGCCTGGAGCCAAGTTCTAGGATGCACGGGACGGGAAGCATCCCCAAAGGATCACATCCTAGACAAGCGAGGCGGGATTGCCTACCCCAGGAAAGAATAACATCCCGCGACCACGATATGTCGGTGAGTGTGCCGTAATTATGGCTCTCCCCTTTTGCCGTGCCGCGTCCCCTACCCCTTCTCCTCCTCCCCACCGCGCCCCGCGCCTTTATGGAAACGTAAACAAACAATGAAAATCGGCCAAATACCGATAATACCTACTCATATAATTGATGATGATAGGATTTTAACCAGAATTTTAGAGTGGACATCGCCGCTGTTCGATATTAATCATAAGGTATAGTGCTTGATTGTTTCCGGTCCGGAATATTGAATTGTTCCATTCCGGTTATTGTTGTAGGAGGTTAGTGTTCTCCTGTGCCTCAATGTTTACACGCACAACAATTAAGTTGTAAGTTATTTTTTGAGGCCGAGTAAATGATGCCCCGTGATGTAAATAACTTGGCTCACTGTCAGCTTTGTTGAAAAGGTGTTGAATGGGTAGACTCCTCTAATCAATGCATTATGTTAAATACTGTTGTAGGTCACTTCACTTATGCAAATGGGTGAACTGCCAGTGTTTTATCACATATCATATATTTTACTCTATATTATTCTCGTGGAACAGAAAACTTTATTACTTTCTGGTTGGGGTGCAAACCGAGTGGTACTATTTGCGTAATCCCTTAAACAATCAATCAATATGCGTTGCAGATAATTTAATTTGCTGCTGCCCCTTCGTACTTAATGCTTAGTCCAGTGCTAAAATTAGTTATTTGAAAGACCATGGTCATTTAGAGACGCATGGGGGGAGAGGCATTTAAATGTGTATTGTATGAGTAAATTACATGTAATTAATAGTTGATGAG